TTTTGCGGTGCGCGGGCCTCTCACTGCCGTGGCCTCTCCCGTTGCGGAACACAGGCTCCGGACGCGCAGGCTCAGCGGCCATGGCTCACGGGCCCAGCAGCTCCGCAGCATGTGGGATCTTCCCAGACCGGGGCATGAACTCGCGTCCCCTGCATCGGCAGGTGGACTCTCAACCACTGTGCCACCAGGGAAGCCCTCCCCTGGCATTTTGACCTAACATCTTGCACTGGTAGAAATGACAATGGCTTTCGAATTTAATATCTACTTCCCTTTTCTGTAGATTAAGAAAATGAACCCCGGGCTTCTCTTGTGGGTTCGAGCCCTGGCCCGGGAAGATCCCACATGCCACGGAGCAACTAAGCCAGTGAGCCACAACTACTGAATCCCGTGTGCCACAACTACTGGAGCCCATGCACCTAGAGCCCATGCTCTGCAACAAGAGAAGCCACCACAATTAGAAGCCTGCGCACGGCAATGAAGCGTAGCCCCCACTCGCCACAACTAGAGAAAGCCCGTGAGCAGCAGAAAACCCAATGCAGCCAAAAATAAAAAAATTAAAAAAAACAAAAACAAAAAAACCCCAAAACAAACAAACAAAAAGAAAATAAACCCCATGTACCACCAAAAGCAAAGGTAACAAAAGCAAAAATAAACAAGTGGAATTATATCAAACTAAAAAGCTTCTGCACAGCAAAGGAAACCATCAACAAAATGAAAAGGCAATCTACCAGACAGGAGAAGATATCTGCAAATCATATACTGATAAGGGGCTAAAATGCAAAATATATAGAGAACTTATGCAACTCAACAGCAAAAAACCAAACAACCTGATTAAAAAATGTGCAGAGGACCTGAACAGATGCTTCCCAAAGAAGACATACAAATGGCCAATAGACACGTGAAAAGATGCTCAACATCACTAATCATCAGGGAAATGCAAATCAAAGCCACGAGATACCACCTCACACCTGTCAGAATGGCTGTTAACAACAACAACAACAACAACAAATAAGTGTTGGCCAGGATATGGAGAAAAGGGAACCCTGTGCACTGTTGGAGAGAATGTAAATTGGTGCAGCCACTATGGGAAACAGTATGGAAGTTCCTCAAAAAATTAAAAATAAAACTACCATATGATCCAAATTCCACTTCTGGGTATTTATCTGAAAGAAACAAAAACACTAACTTGAAAAGATATATGCACCCCTATATTCACTGCAGCATTATTTATAAGAGCTAAGACACAGAAACAACCTAAGTGTCCATGGACAGATGAATGGATGAAGGAAATGTGATATGGGTGTATGTGTATATATATTGTGTGTACGATGCAATATTATTCAGCCATAAAAAAGAAGGAAACTTTGCCATTTTTGACAATGTGGATCGACCTTGAGGCCATTATGCTGACATAAATCAGAGAAAGACAAATACTGTATGATCTCACTTATATGTGGAATCTAAAACGAACAAACAAAAATAATTGAGTTCATAGATATATAGAACAGATTAGAGGTTGCTAGAGGTGGGGGGTGGAGGTGGATGAATTCTGGTGCAGGGATTCAAAAGGTACAAACTTCCAGTTATAAGTAAGTCATGGGGATATAATGTACAGCATGAAGACTATATTTAAAAACACTGTATTGAATATTTGCAAGTTGCTAAGAGAGTAGATCTTAAAAATTCTCATTATAAGAAAAAAAATTTGTAACATGTATGGTGACTAGACTTATTATGGTGATCATTTTGCAATATACACAAATATTGAATCATTATGTTGTACACCTGAAACTAATATGTTATATGTCAATTATATGTCAATTAAAAAATTAGGTCCCAGAGATAAAATGATTTTTTAAAGGTAATAGAAGTAGATATTGATAGAGCCTCCTTCTAAAAGGCTGGAAAATCAAACATTTCCCAGGACTTCCCAGGAGAAGAGGGGAACTGTGATGCTGGTTGTCATTACTCCCATACTCACTTCACAAACCAGCTCTTGGATACTGGCTTCAAAAATTATAAAAATGTTCTTTGGAAAAAAACTCAAACTACCTAAAAGTGATTAGAGTAAAAACAAAACCTGGGGAGAGTTACTTTCTCTGCAGCAGTGCTGTCCATTAGAACTCTGCGATGAGGGAAACGTTTTTATCTGTGCTATTTTCAATACAGGAGCCACCAGCCACGTGTGATACTGGAAGAAGTGAGTTTTAAATTGTATTCAATTTTAATTACTTTAAATTTAAATAACCACATGTAACTGTGGTATCATATTGGACAGGGCAGCTCTAGAGAATAACCATCCTTCCCTGTGGATAAGGACTCTCCTTGTCCTCGCTCTGGGGCTTCCTTTCACTCAAACCTCGGTTGTGGGTTCGGGGGGAGATTTAAATAACTCAAGTTCAACTTAAAAAGTTAATGAGGACTTCCCTGGTGGTGCAGTGGTTGGGAATCCACCTCCCAATGTAGGGGATGTGGGTTCGATCTCTGGTCAGGGAACTAGATCCCACATGCATGCCACAGCTAAGAGTTTGCATGCCACAACTAAGTAACCCACCTGCCGCAACTAAGACCTGGCACAACTAAAAATAAAAAACAAACAAAAAGTTAATGAACACCTGTTATGTGCAAAGTACTGTCTGAGGTCCTGTTTGCAGGGGAGGGGGGATCCAAAGGTGGATAGGACTTGTAACTACCCATACAAAGTTCACAATTTGGTAGGGACATTAAGTCACATACACAGAGATGGAGTGTAACATGTAGCAATGTGGACAAACTGAACCAAGTTAAGGAATAAAGAAAACAGAGTGATTCATTATGCTGGGATCAAAAGGGAAGGTTTCACACATGCAGGAGCTTTTGATCTGTTCTTGAATTCTGTGAGCCTAGCTTCCTGGAGGAAGATGAACAGTGAATCCTGGCTGTGAGACAGGGAATGGAGGTCATATAGTACAGAGGGAGGCAGTACACTTTTGGTTCAAATCCTGGATTTGCTATCTAATACTACCTTTGTGATCCTGGGAAAACTCCTTAACCTCTCTGAGTTGCAGCTTCCTTATCTGTAAAATGTGGTTAATAACTACTCCTGTGTCAGAGGATTAAACGAGCAGCTTGCACAGTGTATCCGGCTCATAGTAAGCAATGAAAAAACTGTGAGATAACTAATAAGGACCTACTGTATAGCACAGGGGACTCTACTCAGTACTCTATAATGGTCTATATGAGAGAAGAATCTAAAAAAGGGTGGATAGATGTGTATGTATAACTGATTCACTTTGCTGCACACCTGAAACTAATACAACATTGTAAATCAACTATACTCCAATAAAAATAAAGTAAAAATAAAGTAAAAATAAACAAATTTAAGGCAAAAAAAAAAGAGAGAAAAAACTGTGAGCCTCCATTGTTAATATTATCATCATTGTATCAGCCAACATAGCTGAGAAATAAGGCCAGAGCAGAACCAGGATCTCTTAAATGGGCTAAATAAACTGCAGAGTGCTCACAGACACAACAGACCTTGGTGTGCAGCTGGAATGCTATGATGGGTTGTAAATGACTGAAATGTGCCCTGGGTGGTAGAGTGATCAGTACCATCTTCTTCCTAGAGACATTCAAATATTCAAGTGCTGCTATCTACTAAGCAGTAAGCTGGGTCTAATTTTTTTTTGGCCGTGCCACACGGCATGCGGGATCTTAGTTCCCCACCAGGAATTGAACCCGTGCCCCCTGCAGTGGAAGCGGGGAGTCCTAAACACCGGACCACCAGGGAATTCCCTTGTTTTTATTTTTAAGATCCTTAGGGTCATAAATGAATTTAGGCCTACAGGCAAATTAGAATTATAAGAAGAAATGGAGAACACAAACCAGGACCAGGGGTGATATTTCTCAATGTCATGAGTCTGAGGGCTGAGCTACTGATGTGGGAAATGGGGAAGTTGAAGCAGTCTAGGCTGGTACCCTGGAGCTGGCTGCAAGGCTCCATCATAAAAGTGTCTACTTCAAGGGCAGTAAGGCTTGGCTTTTCCGCCGGACTCCAGAGGGCCCCACTCACCATCACAGTCAAAGAGCGCAAACACCACATCACACACGTGATCTGAGAGTTCCACTTTAGCCACTGTCCTGGCCACCTGCTGCATGGTTACTGAAAGAAGAAAGATGTTGAGTTAGCACAGCAGAGGGACTTTCATTTTGCTTTCTCTGAATGGAAGGATAAAACTATTCAGTCACAATAAAAAATTTTCAAGTGTATTTACATCACATTTAAGAAAATGATAATTCAGTTTTTAATCCATAACCCCCTTTCCTTTTCACTTCAGATTCCATTTTCTTTCTACTGCTGCCACAGTTTAGGAGGTATATATAATTAAGTAAGAATGCCTGATACTAAATTTATAGAGAAAGTAGATTGGAGATTACAAGGGGCTGGGGAGTTAGTGGTTAATCGGTACAGATTTTCTGTTTGGGGTGATGGAAAAGTTTTGGAAATAGTGGTGATGGTTGTACAACACTGTGAATGTAATTAATGCCACTGACTTACATACTTAAAAATGGTTTAAATGGCAACTTTTGTTATATATATTTTACCACAATAAAAATTTAAAAAGTGAAAATCCACATAATATTTAAGGATGGAATTCTAAGTCTTCAGCAGGCAGCGGTGGCTTTTCTAATAAATTATTACCAGAAGAGTGCCTTGAAAAAAAATAAAGAATGCCTGATAGTCTCCGTCTTGGCATTTCCCTCCCACTGGAAAGAGCACAATAACAGAAAGTCAAGGAAATAATGAGGCAGAGAAAGGATGGGGAAGTGGGGAACAAGGAGACTTGTCTGAGTGCACTGAGGCTTCACCCACCCGTTACTGACTGACAGTGGAGAATCTGCATGGCTGAGGTCCTGCCCTTCCTCCCAACAGGTTTTCCATCAGCCACTTTGTCTTTCCCAACTGTGCCCCTTGGGAGAAGCAGTGGCCCCATCTCACTAGATCCATACAGTCTCTCTCTTTTTTTCTTTTTCCAGATCTCATCAGAAAATCTCTTCTCTCTTGCCATTTTTTCTTTCTCTGACATTTACTGTTAAACACTAGCAATCACGTGAGAACTGGGTTCTCACAAAAAACAAGCCAGGAAGGACTAGGCAATTTCCCCTGCCTTCTCTGCCATTTATCCTCAAGCCTGATCCAGCTACATCTATAAATTATGTTATTGCTTATAGACACACTCTTAAGTGAGGTAAAACTCAGAGGAAAGAAAAAGATGAATTTCTATTTATGAACCAACTAGCAATGAAGTGTTCATATCTATAAACCTCAGATTAGATTTTTCTAGAAGCAATGTGAACTTAAACTAAAGGCAGTGTGCCTTCTCTGCTTATTTCATTCCTATAATTTCAGTTCTTTCTTGTCATTTTTTTTCTGCATTTGCTCTTTCACTTCACCTCTATAGCTTCCATTATATTCACCACAGGGCCCCTGAGGTCAGCTGATACAAATGCCAGAACAATGCAGAGGAGCAAGGAGACGCAGTAGAAAAACTGCTTGCAAGTCACAAGACCTGAGCTCTAGTCCTGGCTCCATCAACTTGCTGTGGTGGAGTCACCTGATCTCTTTAGGTATAATATTCTCATATTCAAATGAGGGGATGCCACAGAATAGCTGCTGAGGTGGCTTAGTAGTGCAAACAATGGTTTATTGGCGTTTTCTAGAATCTGAGGGTGAGGGATAGGGGTGGAGGTACACAGAAACAGCTGAAGATCTTGTGTGGTGAAGGGTAGAAGAAAGGTATAAAGGCCACAAGCTGGGCTGTACCTTAGTGTCCACAGCCTCTGTCTGGAGGAGGACTAGGCTGCTCACGAGAGTGGGAAGAGTCAGATTCCTCCTCCTGCAGCTTTAGGTTACTGCTCATACCGCCCCTCTTCACGGGATGTGAGAGTGAAAGAGGAATCAACATCCCTTGGAACTAAAAGACTTAAGCAGAATATATTATTGTGTGGATGTTCACGAGATGTGGTTAAGTGCTGATGGGGAAGATGGGGCCTCTACTAGACTGTAGAAATTCTAGGGTTTAGAAACAGCCTCATAGGTCTAGACAGTTGATTCTCTCAGTCGGCTCAGGAAGAACTGATTCCTGCTAACTAAATGGCCCGGGGAAAGAAGAGAAAACCAGAAGGCCAATTTACAATGAAAATAGTAACTGTTAAGAGAACTAAACTGATGACAGTTGGTCATTATACTTCTCAGTAGGAAAATCTACTAAGGAAACTCAGTTCACCTCAGAAGATTGCTCAGCGAAAAGAGAATCAGACCAGAAGACACTGGATGCTCTCAAACTGTGATCATTTACTGAATTACCCTTTGCGGCCACAGAAATGTGTCCTGAGAAGTGGCTCAAAACCTGTTCTATGTAGATAAACATGAATGCTTTATGTTAACCATTACTCTCTCTGCCAATGTTTGTTAACCATGCCTTTTTCACACCAATACCACACCTGTTATAACTGATAACTACCCTCTTTTTCTCTTTCCCAGTTCCATTTTCTCAGGGCAGAGTGCCTATTGCCAATTCTTTTTTTTTTAATTGTGGAGTATAGTTGTTTTACAATGTTGTGTTAGTTTCTACTGTACAGCAAAGTGAATCAGCTACACATATACATATATCCCCTCTTTTTTGGGTTTCCTTCCCATTTAGGTCACCACAGAGCACTGAGTAGCGTTCCCTGTGCTATATAGTAGTGCTAATTCTTCTTGATGTTCCAAGTGCCTATCCTTTTCCCCATGAAGATAGACTCTTTCCTCTTTAAAATAAACCATTAACTAAATAATATCCAAGAATGTCAGCGAAGCTCTTGGC